CAACATTTTGTATAGGATGGGAAAATCTCAGTGTGAATGCATACTAGTTTTACAATGAGTATGTTCAATACCTAAATAATATATCCAAACTCCCTTGGACTAATGCCTTTGAAAACTGCCAGTGAATCTTTGTCTTTAAGCCAAATTAATAATTACAAATACACTGTAATTTAAACTAACAAATGAGAATATAGAAATGAAAATTTCAGTTTGGGCCTTCAACCAAATACATTCGCGTAAAATGTACATGTGAAATCATAAGGCTGTGATGCTGTTGATTTAAGCCAGGAAAAATTTGGTTTCTGTTCCAGCTTCATTTGAACCTGCAGAGTTATATTTTTATCTCTTTTTCACGTGTGGAATGGCCACATCTTGTACACAGGCCTAGGGTCACACATTTTCATTGCGACAGAAGCCAATACCTAGGAATAAACCAAGCTTTAGGGTGAAAAGCTTGAACCATCTCAAATGGTGTAGAAAAGAATAGTATTCAGAGGTCACACCTTGTTTAGAAAAGAGAAATTATTTATTTGAAGGTATTTTTAAATGTGTACAGTTATCCCTATTTACCAAAAATGGAGCAAAAATTTTTTAACCCTTTTAGACCATACAAATGGCATTTATTATGCTAGAAGTTAGTAAGAACTGACAGAAATTAGCAAATGAATGTCTTTTTCAACAACAATTTTAGGCCCATCAACTGTAAGCTGACAGATGCATTCTTTGACCAAAATAATATTTATTAAACTACCCAATCAGCCAAAATAAAAGTAACCTGCCAGTTAGTGAATCAGCACTCTCCCAGTGTAAGAGACGGCTTTTAAGAGAAGACTGGGCACTGGGAAGTGAAGCATTATGTGCCTGGAATCATGTCCCAACAGGCATCTTTACTTTTCCGAAGCGCTCACTTCTGAGCTTCCTGCAGGGAGCCCTCCCCTCACAGTGAAGCCAGAACCATCATTTTGTTCTCACTGTCTGAACTGTCTCAGAGCAAAGAACTTGTTCCTTACACTCAGTCTTGTTTTTGTTTTTCGGTGGTTTTTTTTTTTTGGTCTTATCTTCATTGCATTTAAATTCTCTTTCTTTTGTATACTTTTTAAATTATTTGTTGAAACCATATCAAGGCAAGATGAGAGAAAGGGAGACAGGTACATCAGAAGCAAGATCTTCCATGTCGCCTTGCAACCCCCATGCCAACACCCCTGGTCTCACAGGCTCCGGGTATAAACACTGCCTTCGGCTAGGCCTTGACCCGGGGTGACGTGACCTTTGCCGGTCCCCAGGTCCTTGCAAAATGTAGGGCAATGTCAGGGCCCCACTGGAACCCTTGCTTCCATGAGAGATCCCTCGGTGACTTGCTAGACTGTACGGACCCCTCCCAGGCTGTCTGGCACCTCCTCTGCCCTGTCCCCTTCAGGAAATGGATGCCTTCAGGTCAGGCACCTGAGTGAAATCCTATAGTGAATCTTAAAAGCCCACATTCCTCACCCCGTAGCCCTCAATGACCCACTCACCCAACCAAACCTTTATAATTGCCTGGGAATCTGAACTCCGAGACTGGAAAATGCACAATGTCCAGGGGGGAAGCAGGGCTAACAGCCAAGCAATGTCCAAGAAAGATCAGAGTATGTGATTTGGGGTGAGATGGAAAGGCTGGAGAGGTGGGACAGCACACGCTGTGATGAAGGTTAGGCAGATTGGGGGGGGAGGGGAGTTCAGGGACACAGCAGTGGTCTGCTTCCCTGCTGGGCTCCTGTCCCTCAATGATGGCTCATCTGAACTATATGAGCGGGTCAGTTCCCCTGTTCTGACACCGTGGGCTCTAGGCCAGCCCCCAAGTAGGGAGACTGAAGCATCCACACCCATAAGCTTGGATACCGGCTCCTACCCACTGCAGGGGAACACAGACATCTCATCCAATGATGTCGCTGCTGAGCGAGCTCTTCTTGTGAATACTGCTCAAGTTTGTCAGGAAGAAATCTTAGGGGACAATGCAAATCAGAGTGGATACCAGTTCACACAAGTGTCTTGCCCTGAGAGTGCAGCCCCGCCCCCTGGCCGAAGGAACCACTCCCCGTGCACGCAGCCCGGCCCCGCCCCCGTGCCCTCCTCGGCCACGCCCCTGCCCCGGCCGTCGGCCCGCCCCTTGATCAGGCCGGCAGGCAGGAGGCAGTCGTTCCCAGAGACCCGGGGCTCTTCCGAGCCGCGCTGTCCTTCCTCAGCCTGCCAGCGGCGGCGGCTGCACAGGCAGCGGCGCGGTCCCTTTAGGAGGCGCAGCTTGAGCCGAGCGGCGGCCGCGGAGGGGCCAGCCCAGAGCGTTGGCGGCGCCGGTGGCGTCCGCGTCGGTTTCCATGGAGGCGGCATCGGCGGTTGTGGTTGCAGGGTCTGCGGAGGCGAAGGCGACGGTGATGCCGGCAAAGGGGACCCGGTCTCTGACATGGTCCGCGGGCAGGACTGCTACTTGGGGCCGCCCTACAGCAAACTCTG